ATAGAGAAGTTTTGTTCTGGGTTAGCCATGGTTACCCAGGGAGACTTTGTGTCAAAACAAGACAAAATGAGTGAACAAACAAACAAAAGAAATGCTGGCATGAAGAGATGGCTTATTGTTCTTGCAAAGTACTCCAGTTCAGGTCCCAGTACCCACAGTGGGCAGCTCCCCATCACCTGAACTCCAGATCCAGTGCCCTCTTCTGCATCCGTGCTCACACACACATGCACACGTAATTAAAATTAATCTTAATAAAAAGAAACATTGAGTGTTATTGAACACTTGTGGTCATCTTTTTACATTAACATATCATTTTTCTCTAAAACAGTGATAGCAGGTTTCTTTTCTCATTCCTATGATACATCCTAAGGATTGAATGATCCTTTCAACATATTTTACTGACCTACCTACCTGTTGGCCTGCATTTTTAATTCATATTCAAATTTGAGTCATATTGCTCTACAGTTTTCTATTTTTCGGTATAATCTTTTTCAATCACTTCAGTTCTTCTGTGTATGTGGAGTATATGTGTATTGTGAGATAAATGCACATGTGTGCACATATGTTTGTAGTGTGCATGCATGTGTGTTCTCATGCCTATGGCCCAATGTTGATATCAGGTATTTTGTATCACTCTTATCTGATTGAGACAGAGTCTGTTCCTGCGTCCATAGCTTCCTGGTTGACTGCCTGGGGCTGGCAGAGAGTTCCAGGGATCCTCTTGTCTCTGATTGCTCTACATCAGAGCTACAGACATGCTTGACAATGCCAGGCTCTTACATGGGTGTCAGGGATTCAAACTCAGGTCCTGATTCTGTGTGGCAGGCACTCTGCTCACTGACCCTGTCCCCAGCCCATCAGAGTGACATTTCTAGAATGTGTGTGATATACTTTCACCCTGTATTACTTTCATAATATACTTTCCTTATAGTCACCCTATGACCGCCGTTTGTCCTCTCTCAGTTCTACTGATCTTCTTCTAACTGCCTTCCTTTCTACTTCTGTGCCTTTTGTTTCACTGGACATCACTTCTCATTAGGACTCCTTACCAGAGCGTTACAGGAGCACAGATAACGTACCACTGACTATACCACGGAAGGAGCACAGATAACTTACCACTGACTATACCACGGAAGGAGCACAGATAACTTACCACTCACTATACCACAGAACACTTACCACTGACTATACCACGGAAGGAGCACAGATAACTTACCACTCACTATACCACAGAAGAAAATGTCCTGCCTTGCACTGGCAACCATTACCTATATATAGATCCTCAGGGCCCCATGATCCCCCTCTCTGCTAAATTCATCTGTTTTGAGGTCACTTTGCATATGAATCTTTGAAAGCATTTTTTATTTCATTAATGGTTGGATTTCCTTCATTTTTTGTTCAAGTTTATTAGAATCAAAATTACATACTATTTTATAATTAATAGTGACATTGCCCATATATATTAAGGCTTTATATTACAATTGCTAATTTATTTTTACATTTTAATATTCCTGATACCAATTTTTTTCTCTTTTAAGATGAGACTTTCAAACACTTGCCTTGTTGAAAAAAACCAGGCCTAGATTTTACTGTGTTTAAAGTTATTTACTTTGTCTTTTATCATTATTTTTTATTTGCTTTCTTATGCTTGGTAGAGGATAGTATTTAGCTTCTGTATATAATACTATATATAGCATATATTGTTGTGGAATAATCTGTTGTTCACTGTGAAAATTTGTCATTTGGATTGGTCTAATACAAAAACAAATGGGCAATAATTAGGTAGGATTTTGGGGGCAGAGAGGATGATGGGAAAAAAGGCAGAGTCACGAGGAAATGCCATGAGACACAGAGGAAGGAAGCGGGATGTGCAGGAGGAGAGGTAATAAGCCATGAGCCATGGAACAGCACATAAATAGGAATGGGTTAATTTAAGTTATAAGAGCTAGTCAGAAACTTATAATTAATAAGAAGCCTCCATGTGGTTATTTGGGAGCTGGCTGGAGGGACAGAAAAATCTGCCTTCAGTATATATAATATATCATATATTCTTTTGTTTTAGGTGTCTCTTTTAAGAAACATCTTCTAACTTGCAGGCGACTGTCTCTCTACTGCAAACTTTCAAGCCTGTTCCACCATACATGTGTGCTCTTTTGTCTTTTCCTCTTTCTAGAAGGACACTGATTTGGTGAATTCAGACCCCACCAGAAACCAGCCTTGCTAAGAATTTGATTTTGGGTTCTAGCTTCCAGAAGGACTAGAAAATATACTTCAGTTCTTAAACCACCAGTGGCACATTTTTGTTGGCAGCCAAGCCTAGAACCCCAACAATTGGAGGCAGAAGCAAGACTATGAGTTCATGATCAACCTGAACTATATACACAGCAAGCAAGACCTTATCGAAAAAAAACAAAACAAAGAAAAAAGAAAGAAAACCCCCAAAGGCTGGTGTAGCTCAATGGTAGGGCACTTGCCCTGCTGGGTGTAGCTCAGTGCCAGGGCGCTAATCCTGCATGTCCAACGCCCTGAGCACAGTACTCAGATGGAAACCCAACCAACCCAAAACATCACCTCCCAGCTTGCCAGTCTCTGATTCATTGTTATATCCAGGCTGCTACTTCTTTACATATGAGTTTTCCGACTGTGCAGGATTTTTCATAGAGAGTTGTATTTTCTGAAGGGTAACACTGGGGGAGGGTCTGGTGAGGATGTGGGAAGGATTTGCCAATTAAAAAAAAAAATCAGTGTTTGAATTTAAATGAATGGCAGCCTCTGTCTTTGGATCTCACTGAGTCACATGGGGAAAAGCATTTGATTTCTTCCAGTCATTTTAAAAAATGACTTAATTATTTTGTGTGTGTGTGCGTGCACATGTGCATGTGCGCACACAACTGTAGGTGCCCAAGGAAGCTGTTGAGTCCCCTGAAGTTGGAGTTATAGACGGTGCTGAGCCATCTGACATGAACGAGAGTCCTCTGTGAGAGCTGTGGCTTACGAATGCTGACCATTGCCGCAGTGTCCCAGTCACTGGTTTCTTCAACACAGGAGAAGACTAGAAAATTTTCCTCAGCTTAGTAAGTAATAACGAGCAGCGAAGATTCCCTCCAGCCTGCCTAATGCCAGCAACACAGAATACTATTGTTGGTGTTTTTAATATTTTTTATTATACCTGAGAGAGATAGGACAGAGTTTTATGGGGGGATGCCCACAACATTTTGCTTTCTGAGAGAGAGACAGAGAGACAGACAGAGAGAGGAGAGACAGTTTTGTGTATGGGTACCCACGGCATGTTGCTTTCTGAAGTTGGTTCTCTCTTTTTACCATGTGGGTCCTGAGGACTGATTGGCAAAAATTGCCTTTATCTACTTAGCCATATCACCAGCTCCCCTTACTAGTTTCTATTACACTGTGTTTTTATATATTTATTTTTACACTACCAAGGATGAGTAGGAGATGCTCAGAAAGAAGATGTCTGTCTCTTTTGAGATGACATATCGGCTGTCATACTGAGGACATAACACATGAAGGACCTTGGTGGATGTCCTGAAATCAGGACAGTGCTTTTTCTTTACCATGGAGTTCCTAGCTGGGCTCTTAAGGGAGAACAACAAGAAGTGAGGAAACTTAACTCTCATAGCAGCCCTGGCTGGATCTAAAGTAGCAATAGTTGGACAAGAAAGGGGGTTCTATTTATTTTATATTTCTGTTCATGTGTATAATGTGCCTGCATGAGTTCATGTGCACCACATGCCTGCGGGTGCCTATGGAGGCCAAAGGCTGTCAGATCCTCCTGGTGTAACCACTTTTTTGGCAGGACCGTTGGCTCCCCAATAATGACATGGAGGCTTATTATTAATTATGAAATCTCGGTCAATAGTGTTAGCTTGCTTTGAATAGCTCTTATAACTTAACCCATTTCTATTCATCTACATGTTACCATGTGACTCGTGGCTTTTACCTCTCCTCCTACATGTCTGTTTCCTCTGCATCTACTGGAGACTCTGCTTTCTTCTTCCCAGAATCCTCTCTGCCTAGAAACCCTGCCCAACTTTTGGCTGTTTAGATTTTTATTAAACCAATCAGAGTGACATATGTTCACAGTGTACACAAAAGATTATTCCAGGGGCTGGAGAGATGGCTCACCAGTTAAGAGCATTGCCTGTTCTTCCAAAGGTCCTGAGTTCAATTCCCAGCAACCACATGGTGGCTCACAACCATCTATAATGAAGTCTGGTGCCCTCTTCTGGCCTGCACACACACATATGGACAGAATATTGAATACATAACTCCCTGAAACTGGAGTTAGAGGGAGTTGAGAGCTAGCTGAAATGGGTGCTGGGAACTGAACCTGGGTTCTGTGCAAGAACAGCTCTTAACCGCTGTGTTCTCTATCTCTCCAGTGCCCATTTGTTTGGGGCAGGGTCTCTCTATGTAACCCTGGTTAGTCTTGAACATAATCTGTAGCTCAGGTTGCCTTGAACTCACAAATCCTCCTGCCTCAGCTTATGCAACTATACCTTCCCTGTTCCATGCTCTTTATTCATTTGCTGATGGCATTCTAGAGCTGTGATTACAAGTCTGGCACCACATTCAGTGTTCTGTGCCATACCAAAGCAGATAACCAACCACACCTCTCTGTGGCATTTCCAGGGAGGTCCTCAGGACTGCCCGTGCACCAAAGGAAGCATGTCTGTGTACTGGGTAGGATCTGGGGCACGTAGGCGTGGCTTCTAGATAAGGAAGCATTCTTTAACATCCAGACTCGCTCCTCAGCAGAAGAACAGTCTTTCTTTTGACCCTACCACTTGGGTAGGTCCAAGCTGAAGCTCTCAAGGCACCACGGACAAAGTCTCAGAGCAAAGTTGGAAAGGGGCTATTCCCGACAGCCTTCCAGGGTCCCGCTTACACTGAGATGCAGTGATTTTAAACCAAGTCAGTGTCTTCAAGGGGTAAGACAAAAGCACGCCTCTCATGCTCACCTCTAAGACTGGCAAACTTACTGTGCAACGCGGCTGCATCCAGGGCTCTCCATCTACTTGCATTGGCAGAAGCTTGTTAGTCCTGGAACCCCCAAACCAAAGAAACAACAGTGAGACTTTCAGAGCTGGAGAATCATCATCACTCCCCACACACAGAGAGAAGCATGAAGCTCACACGTGCTCACTTAGGAAAGGTTCATTGAGACCAGGGGAACTTTCTGAAAATATAATCATCTGTGCATTTCAGGGACTGGACTTGGCAGGTCTGGAGCAGGCCTACAGATCTGTGTTCTAATAGTTACTATAGGGATTTCTCTAGGTTCTGTCTTCAGACTCCACTTTGAGAAACTCATGGGTGCATCAAAAGCCACAGCCCCTGGAAAACCGGCCAGCAAACATGGTGGCCCCACTGCTGTGCAGTCCAGCAACAGGCAGAAGCGAAAGTGGCTCATGCCAGGCTCTGCCCTGGAGTAGGAAGAGGCCTGTACGCCTGACAGAATGAATGGTTGCAGCCTATCCAAGAGGTAACATCTCTAAGCTACAGAGGTTATCCCCGTATGTATTCAACCGCACTAGGTAGGGTACTCTGGATTCATATACACCATGACTGGAACATATACACTGGGACAGGAACATCTAGGAATGACCCAAGGTGTAGGAGGAGAGGTGAAGAGAATGTGCTCCCCTCTTGCTTGGAAAAGGCTTTCTCTTTGGCATATGGGCTCTGTAGACTCTAATGTGTCCTCCAATGCCTTGGGAGGAAGGTAGTCCTCTGGCCAGGGCCATGTGAACAGTCACTACCCACTGGACCGGAAGCTCCTACCTGAGCTGTATTTTTGAAATTACAAAATGGGAGGGGAAAGCACTCTTTTGATTCAGTAATTCTCTTGGGGGCTCTGAGTATATTTCATAATAAAAGCAATACATCTAATAATGAAAACACCATTTTAGCAGAAAGATGGTCTTTGAATACTTGGGGATAGAGAAGTATCAGAGAAGGGCCTAGCAGGATGGAGCTTTTAGCTACTCCTCTGTTTCCATCTGGAAATAGATCTGTTGACTGCTGGAAAAAGCCTCCGTCATACTTAACTTCTTGGATTTCTTCTTGGCAGTCAGGACAGTGTGTTCTCTGTAATCTACCAAGGCCATGACTGTGATATTCTACAGAAAACCTAGCCCCATAGGTATGAGGGCTCTGGGCAAGGGCTGTCCAGGTTGGTCTGGGAAGCAAACGTCCTATCACAGCGATGACTCCAAAAGACAGGAGGTATGGTGACACAGATGGTACAGAGATAGGAAATGACAAAGGGTTAGGGGAACAGACCCTCGGGGACCACAGAAGGGCTTCGGCTGAGGGAAGATGGAAGGACCAAGAACAGATTCCTCAACTGTGCTCTCCTGACACTTGCCCAAGTGCTTCTGGAAGAACGGGCTCTTTAATGCAAGTGCCTCTGGGAAACCTTTTACCCTGCAGCCCTTCTAGGAGATCCCCAAAGCAAACCAACAGATAGAATCTGTAGCAAGAGAGAAAAAGGAAAGGAATGAAGAAGTCTGAAACAGCCAGGTTGAGTAAGAAGTCTAACTAAGGAGAACTGAAATTGGACGAACTCCTATCAGATGCCAGAGCACCCAGGCAGGCTGGCTATGTCATCCATGTCCCCAGAAAAACTGCTACCCTCTTGGTCAATACAAGAACTTCATTGATGTTAACCGGTTAGCATAAGAAGACATCCCGCACACAGAACAGCCGTGAGCCCTGGCATTATTCTAATGTTTTACAATTATAAAGAGAAAACAACCAAAGAATTGGAGCTCTGGATCTTATATATGTCCTGTGTATGTCACCAGGTAATTTTAAGAGGATAGGTTATCATGGCTGCTCTAGTTGATGACGGCATTAAATCTGGCCCGACACAACTCCTCCACCTGACATTCAGGGGTTCGAGCAGGAGCCAGAGGGACAGGGAGTTTGCTCTTGAGATCATGTCTCTTGGAAATGATAAAGAAGCTGCACCGATGAAATGTCACCAACATGGCTGCCTAAACAAGACTAGAACAAGGGTGGTACCAACAGACACGCTATCATGGGTGGGGGTGGGGAGAGGTAGGGGGAAACCCATGGGGCATCAACACCACACCAAGAACTACAGGCAACCAAGGAAGGCTAACAGCAGGAGAAATAGATTCCCCTAGGGAAGGGCACACTGATTGGTTATCCAATACCAAATGGTCATCCCTGAAATGATATACATACAAAAGACTATATGGCCTGAGCAGATAGTATATATATATATATATATATATATATGTATATATATATATATATTCTTTATAAATACTGCTAAGCTTTTTTTTCACCAATTTGCTATAGCCTAAAGTCTGAAGGTTGCTCCCCAGTCTTTTTATTATTTGCCCGAATGTTCAAGGGGGTAGGGAGACCCAGACGATGCTAGGTAACAAGGGAACTTACCTAATGATGACAGAGGAGCACTGGGCCAGCCTCCTGCCCGCACTCTTCAGGCCAGTATAGATCTGTCCCATTTCCATGGCTCCCTCTAGACCCACAACTTCAAGGAGCTGGTCGCTGAGGTCTGCAGAGTGAACAGCAAAGACCATGGACACTCTTCTCTCTCACTCAGGATAGTCTGCCCAGAAGCTCTGGTCCCTTGATGCCCAGCCCAGGTCTAGCTGTCATTTCCCACTCAAGAGAGCTTTCGTATACCGAGTCAGACATTTTTCTCAAAAAAGAAATAGATGTACCTTTTTTGAGGGAGCAGAAAGTTAAAGCCAAGTTATAGGTTTTTTTAAGCATTGATTTTGAAAATTAATATGTATCCAGTGAGTAGGCGGAAGATTAATATGTATCCAATATGTATCAGTATCAAGCAGTCTCTTCAAATATAGAGTGGCAAACAAGCGGTTTCTGAACTACACCCACCTAGCTTGTAGAGAAAAATTGGTTTGGGCCTACAATAAGAAGGAATGTTTGAAGAGTCTCTAACTATTCTTAATGTCAGAGAAACATGTTGGCTCTGCTAACGATGACCGATGGTTAGTTAGCCTCCAATTTGGCCTGTGCTTAGCTGCTGGTGAACCATCCTCTGTGGACATCCTCAGGAAGCTCAAGGGACTTTTCCAGCATACCCCATGGCTAAGTGAAGCAAAGGAGAAGAATATTCCACCTGCATCAGACCGTTGTGGTTCACAGTGGAAAAGGAGGTAGAAAAACATGAACTCCAGGCTCCATATCACGGTACCAATGCCCTGCAATGGTGGCAACGGCTTCCAATTCCCAGCCTTGGAGGAGTGATCCAGTTTGCTTGGATTTTTGCCTCCATTTTCCACTGTAAGAATGATGGCAGGGGTGATGTTGGATGCTGGACCCAATACTCACTCTAAAAGGCATCTGCTTGTGCAGTTAGAGCTGATGCAAAAATTAAGACGCAGAGTTTAAAGAACAGTTTATCTTTCTTTAAAGATAAGAAAGCAAAGAGGAAGAGTACACTTTCTCAGATGGAGGCCAGTTACTACTGTTCCATTAATAGCCATGGGCAAGAAAGCTGTGCCAAGGCTTTTGTTTGCTCATCAAACGGCTTCTGTCCTCCAAAGACGCACTGTTTAAGATTAGTGAAGAAATATTTACTCTCTTGTTTAGAAGATGGTTGTCTTAAAAATACTCCACTGTTTGATGTCTATCTAATGGAGGCCGCTGGCCACAGCACTGAACTGACGGAGAACGCATCAACACTGAAGTCTAAAAGTCTGATCACTGAGAGACATTAGCTGTCAAGAGATACACGAGTCAAATCCATCTGTGAAGAGCACGCCGCTTCCCCCTCTGTATCCATCCACACCCCCCTCTCTCCCTACGTTCCCCCTTCTTCACATCATGGAAAAGATACTGTCTCCTTAAGCTCTCCGTCTCATGTGGACTTGGGACAAGAAGCCATAAAAGGGGAAGGTTTATTTAGGAGAACGCTCCAGGCTCTCTGAAGGAGTTTGGAGCTAATCAACAATAAATGTCTAAATCTCTAGTCACTTCATTAGTTCCCTTACCAGAGAGGGCTGAATAATCCTTGCAGAGTCTTAGCTTATTGTGCTGGTTTAATGGTGTCCCTGAAAACAACACAGGCTATGGGAGGTGGGGGAGGTGGGTGGGGTGGGGTGGGAGGAAGCAAGAGAAGAGGATGCAGGAGATGAAGGGGAGAAACATAATAGAGTGCTTCTAGGGGCTAGGAGGGCAGGGGAGTTGTGCTGGGATGTGAGGGAAGAGAAGAAAATAAAGGCATATGTTTTTAGACATTCTTCTGCACAGTGGCAGAAACGGATACCTTAGAAAATGTCGCTCTTTGTGACAGGCTTTGGTATCTGACAGAGCTCAATGGTTCAGTGTTCTCCCTCCTTGAAACATGCCCTGGTAACAAAATGTTCTAAGAAGCAGGGCACTTAATAGACTCAAGTGTTTCAGCTTTACAATGTCTCTGTCTTTTAACAAATTTTCCCGTTGAATGGCTTTAAAGTTGTTATCACTTCCCACACATTACCTTGCAGCTATCACTTCCCACACATTACCTTGCTTCCTGGCTCCAGAAGAGCTGTAATGAAGGCTGATCTCACCAGCGGGAGTGGGCAGGTGGGGGAGGGGCTGGCACAGATGTGGGCTGGAGGAGAGGGTATGTATGCAGGGGAAGGGGCTAGGGGCTTGTTATCCCTTTGTCCTCTCACTTTTGAATATGTATATGAATGAATGTGAATATGTGACTCCTGCCTGGCACCTACCCCTACCCATGACCCTGACACCTGACTGCAGGACTTAGCTGATCTGTGCCCTCTCTGCTATTGCCTAATATCTTTCAACTTCCTAGAATGCCTATTGAGAAAAGTCTTAAAGAAATCTATTTTACATTTCTTTCCTAAAGTAACTAAGCATCAAGACTCTTCTTTTGTATGATAACTATAAATAGTCCATGATTTTAGTTTTCTTTGTGCTACACTTAAAAAGAGTTCCTCATCACCTAACCCTTCTTTCCTTCCTCTCCCACAGAGAAGCTTATGTACGCAATAAGTTTGGTACTAAAATGAAGGAGAACAGAATGTAAGTCAATGTCTAGGCACAAACAACAAAAAATGTTTAGGCCCTGTGTTTAGAACACAGAATCCAGGATCGGGACATCTGGTATACCAGGTGTCTGCTTTACCTTGGGTACCAATGATTCAGAGTTTGGCAATTGTGTCATGATCATATTGTCTTTATACTCTTCCACTCACTAATGTTTAAGACAGAGCATCTATGCACCTTAGTTAAGCAGGATTCATTCACTCAGTCACAGAACTGCTACGGAGTCAGCAACAAGGTTCTAGGCACTGTGTTAGGAATTGGCAATATAGAGTATTCTGTTGCTGAAAGAATCTTGTCTAAGGAAGAGAAAGAATTCGGTGAACTACAGTCTTTAGTATTTTTCCCTAGAGAGATTTATTATTTAATTATTATTTATTCTTATTATTCAGAAACTTGTCCTAAACCAGAGGAGGAGATCTTTGGGCCAGGCACAAGGTTGTGTAGCCTATGAGCCTTCCAGCCCTGCTCTTCCTATTTCTTGGTGACAAGGCTTTGTGCACACAGGTGTGAACACTGCATTCTAGGAAAAAAGGAAGCCATGGCAGGGAAAAATGGAGAGGGTTGAGCGTGGAAGCAAGGGGTAGGGCAGCAAGACATCAGTTCTAACCTGTTCACCCTCTAGCATTCAGGGTTATAAAGGCACATCTCACCATGTCATTCCCAGACCCACAATCCTTAGCGGCACCGTGCAAAACACCAAACAAGGTCTCGGCAGAAGAAGATGCAATATGTGTACCTTCCCACTCAAGATGTTACAGGGAGAGAAAGGTTTGGAAAGAATTTGCCTGTTGGAATGTGTTTGAAGGTTTGACATTGTTTCTCCTGTTACTTTCTATCACGGATAGAACCCAAGTAGTTCATGAAAGCACACGCATTGTAGCATCATTTATAAGTCACCCCACTGCCACATTTCTTCCTGCATGGGAACAGTTAAACAAACAACATGGTATCCACATGACAAAAATTTTTGCTGCCATTAAAATATTTACAAGCCAGGTGTGGGAGCTCATGTTCATAATCTTAGCACCCAGGAGCTCAGGGGTGGGACGGAGGGAAGGGGACTGTGGTAAGTGCAAGGACTACAAAGTGAGTTCCAGGCGAGCCTGGGATACTGTATGAGACCTTGTTTTAAAATTGCAACACACATATTTAATAACCGCAGTATGTTTATGTGATGATTATTATGTCACTATATAAGCTTACTTATGTAGCATGTTCTCACTAGGTAAGATGATACACATAAAAAATCTTTTAAAAAATAAGCTTCTCACTCATGGCAACAAAGACCAAGCATTAGTTCTAGAAGGTTCTCTGGGTTGCTCTTCTTTTAGTTTGATTAAGATGGTCCTCAAGATCTTCCATGCGCACACAGACTACAACTGCAGCCACTATACCATGCAGTCTGGGCTGAATGGGGAAAGAGATAAAGGAACGGTGGAAAAGGAGACTTGGGAAGTTCTAGCAAAGATGTTCTGAGACAAGGAGTGGAAGGTGGATGAGGCGCTGTGAGCAGATGACCTGTGGCCTCAGTAATGAGCAGCTGGACTGAACAAATTAAAGGGAATGTGGCTATGTCCATGGTTTCCAAACTTTGTTGTATGTCAAATTTACCTTTTAAAAACAATGATACTGTCGGGCAGAAGCAGCATATTCCTTTAATCTCAGTATGAGAGGCAGAGGCAGGCAGATCTCAGTGAGCTAGGCCAGCCTCGTCTACCAAGCGAGTTTCAGGATAGCCTGAACTGTTATGCAGAGAAATCCTGTCTCGAAAAAGAAAAGAAAAGAAAACAAACAAACATGGTGCCCAGTCGCAGCCCCTATGAGCTATTAAACTGCATGGGATGCTAACCAGGCATCACGTTTACTCTGAAACAATCCTCAGGTATTCCAAAGTGCACTGCAGTTTATATCCAGTGGGCTGAGTTTCTGCTGCCACTGGCTAGTGGTTCCCAGAGTGTGGCCTTAAACCAGCAGGCTTTTCATCACGTGTGAACTTGTTAGAAACGCACCTCCTTAGACCCCACCTCAGATCTGCGGAATCAGATATTCTGAAGGCTGACTCTAACAGACTATGTTCTAACAAGCCCTCTGGAAGATTCCAAGACACATTCAAGTCTGAGAAGTTGAGCCCGAGGCAATAAAAGTACCCACAGGAGTTCAGGTGAGGAATAGAAGCAAGTTACTTCCCCGACTGCTTTGATCTGGAACTTTCTCAGGTGAAGATTAGGGATGCTAATGTTCACCCAGCAGTGTGTGAAAGTGTCTAGCTGAAAGTGGTGTAAACTCTGACAGTTTCCCTTTCCCTTTCTCCCTACAACTCCTAAGCATTTGCCTGCATGACTTCTTAGAGCTGCCCTCAAGCCACAACATTAGACCTTAAAATAACATATCATATTGGGTTCCCTGCCATCACCTACCTCCATGCAGAGGCCAGAAAGGAGGGTGTGCTTTGGACAAAGAGGGCATCCTACC